AATAAAACATATATAAATCAGATTTTCAATACATTATAATTTGTTATGTCTTTATACCTGCAGATGAGCTGAACGATAATATATGGGGATGTATTGAAAGGTCCTGGACGTCTAATCCTATGCGCATGTAATGGTGTGTGAACAGGACTTTTTTGATTCTGACTATCCTTGCTAGCCTTTTTTTGAATATTTGAGCTTTCATTGCTTGTGTTTTGATTGTGCATGATAATGCTCCGTTCTGAATTAATGGTATAGTCAGTAGCACGATTACTTTTTATGTCACTGAGACTTGGCATTAGAGAATCATCCAACTCAAACTGTGATTGTGGTGACCCTTCCAAGGGAACAATAGATTGAATAGGGGTAGGAAATATGAACTGATCCTCTTCATCATTGTCATGTTGATGTGTAAAGTCATGTTGACTTTCAAAAACAAGTGGTCTTACAAATGATGGCTGAGGTATAAAAAAAAAATTATTCAAAAGCAAATTATACTAATAAGAACAAAAGTAATTAGTTTAGATAAGTAGAACAACATACACTTGGGATTATTGATTTAGACGAACTAAAACCAGCATCTACATTGATCAGATTACGCACAGGTGAATTCTCACAATCAACCTTTAAAAAAATTAAAATGTTAATTCTCAACAATATTCCCCAATGCACTATATAAATATCTAGACTTAAAAAACATACTTGATTATCAGCAATATCGGATATGTCTCCCTGATTTGAATTTTCAAAAATTGAATGATCCTTTAAAAATAGGAGAATGGATAAAATATCGTTAAACCATGTGAAAATACAAAATTTATAATGAACATACTTGAAAAACTTCCTCGCTGCCATTATTTGAGCTTTCATCGCCCTCCGACTTCTCATCATCAAAACAGACCATTCATTCCATGTAGATACAAAAGAAGTCAACATATATACAAAAAAAATTATATTGAAATACAATATTAATGACATGTAAAAATACAAATGTATCTTAAACAAAAATGTAGTAAGAAAAATAGAATACTAAAATAGTAATCTTTATTTTAAAAATAAGATTCAGAATACCTGATTTTGATTTTCTGAATCAACTGATTTTGTAAAATGTTGTCGTCCTTGAGCAGCATTGTGATTGTTTGTGTTGTCCTGAAAATATATTTGATATAAAAACAATCAACATACATTTAAAAATTATGGATAGAGAAATAAAGTACTTACAAATATAGGAAAAAATTAATAGTAGACATATATATTATAGTATATAGAATACTGAATACAGAATACAAACAAAATAAACAATTATTTTCAAAATGAGTTGTGTGTACCTGGTTTTGATTTTCAGATAAAATTGGACTTGTAAAAGGTTGTGATCCTTGACCAGCATTGTCATTGTTTTTTTGGTCCTGTAAATATTGAATTACAACATAGAATTCAAAAAAACAAAAAGAATAAAAAAAAATTAAACATACAAATTTAGCATATTGTATAACCTTCAAAATAGACATAATGATATTAAAATTATCATTTATCAACTTCCGTATGTCTTTAAACTCCTCTCTAACCTGAAACATTTACAATATGATTAAATTTTACGGATTGCAATTATTTGAATAAATATATTGAAATAACATATGTATAAACAGTATATACCTCCTTTCGTAATTCAGATAGTTCGTTCCTCATTAATTGTTCATGAGACACACTTATAGATGGTATTTGGGAATCCTTTGTTGGCACACAAGTGGGAGTGGTTTTCTTCTTAAAACACATTTTTTTTCTTCCGCACAACTTTTCTAATTCCAACTTTCTCCACATTCTGGTTCGCTACTGGATCGATCTTTTCAGTCTGTTCCATTTGATCTGTCATATTTGAATCATTTTTCCGTACCCTTTTAGCAGGTGATACTGATTGCCCCTTTTTTCGTTTACCTGTAACCTTCATTGAAGGTGGAGGTGGGTTGACAAAATCATCATCTGAATTCTGTCCAGAAAGTACTTGTTCATCAATACCACGATGTGGCTCTGTTTGAACACCTTCAGTTGGTTTGTGAAGACCTTCAGGAGGCAATTGTAGAACAGTGATTTCCATCAGAGAAGGGACAACATTCTTCCATTTAATCTGAAACCGATAGTAAACATAATAATTAACATAATAAAATATATACATCGAATTAATACAATAACAAAGATACAAATTCAATAATTACATACAATACCTCTCTATTACCATCATTGAATGTGTTTTTCATCAAGGTTTTGAATCGGGGTTGTGCTCCTACTGTTTGCCAGTTTAGAATACGGAGGATATGATCACTGATTTTCCGTGCAAATTTGGTCTGACGCTTACCCATGCACTCGTATATCCATATTTGAAGGACAACAGGCATACCACATATTCTATAATATTGACCATCAGTAGTCAAAACCTTGTTGATACTCTGTAGCAACCACTCAAATGCTTTTATGCCCCAAGGATAATGCATATACCGACCACTTTCAACCAAATCAAAATGAATTCTAGGAATTCGCAATGATCTCTTCTCGCCAGAATACACAAACATATGAATGAAATATAATATTGCAAACTTAATGGCATCATCATCATTGTCAACCCAAACTTTATCATTGAACCTATCGAACAAATCAGATCTACGTATGGTCTCATCACCACCAAAGTACTGAACAATAAGTCGGTTAGGTTCTTCTGTGTTAAACTTGAAATCCTCTACAACACCAACACAGTTTAATCCAGTAATAAGAGCAAACGTCCTAATTGTGAACTTTAAAATAACTCCATTTACTTTGATTAAAAGAGCCTGCTTACTACTAGCTTCCACTTCTCGTGACATACAACACCTGTGAATTTGACCTTGCCCAACACATTTTCTAATTTTCATATACTGACCAAAACACGTACTCTCACAAAATAAATTATACTGCTCCGGTGTAAGCTTGTCAGTCAACTTGGATTTAATGTCATGACTTACTATACAGTGAATGTGGGGTGCTTTTTTTGGTAGCTTTTTGCAAGCATAAGAAGTCCACTGGCATATTGAATTCCAAAAAATGAAATAATACTAAAATAACAGAACAAAAAAACATGATAATAAATAAAAAATCAACACATTTAGCACAACATACAAAAAAAAATAGATATGGTAACAAATATGTGGTACATTAACCTAACACAAAAAAAAAGAATGCAAAACGAATTTTTTTGTATATATACAGTGGAATACAGAATACAATATACAACTCCCATTACATATATACAAAAAATACAATAAATTTATGAACTACAAACTTATAAAATATGTTACTTTGACAAAAAAAAACAATAAACATACTAAATACAGAAATACGTGCCAACTATAATAGTGAATACAAAAAACATTACAACTATGGAAAAAAGTAACTATAACAAGATGAAAATTCAGAACACACTTACAAATGTATACGATATTACATTGATAACTAAGACAAAAAAGATGAACAGAATACAAAATATAATACATAAATAGTCAAAAAAAATCATTTATTGCATTGACAACTAATACAAAAAATATGAATAGAATGCAAAATACAATACATAAATAGTCAAAAAAACTTTCCAATACAAAAATACATAGAGACTATAACAGACTAAACAATTCAAATACACTTTCAAATTCATTGTAAAATGTATTTTTTTCAATCTTAAAAATTACTAAACAAAATAAACTAAACATCCAATAAACAACACATGCAAAAAAAAAATTACCTGTTCTCCAAAAAAATTGTTCTAATTCGACTTCATGAACTGTGGGATGTTGCACCTCTTCAGCCATTTTTGCACACTCCTTAGACTTAGATGATGAACCTACATTGTTGTTTATTTATTGAGTGAAAAAAAAACTATGAAACTCGAAATAACTGTGTATTTTTTTTTACAATACCTCTAGTCACTCTTTTGAATGCATCCATTGAAGATTGAATTTGGTATTACGAAACCTTAAAAAATAATTTAAGAACAACAACAAAAGATCGAAAATTAAAAAAAATAAGTAAGTAATCAAAAAGTAATATGAAGAACATAAAATAACCAACACAATGTGAATCTCCAAACAAACTTTCAAACGGAATTACTTGAGAATGAAGTAGAAAATTCGGGTTTGAAAAAATTGAAGCGCGAATCTGGGGATTTGATGATATATGAATATGTTGTGTCCGTAGAATAATTTTAGTTAGATAACCTGCAATTCAAACAAAAATCGTGGAAGATTAAGAGTTGAAAATTAAAAAAAGATATTCTGAAAAATTAATTTTGGAAAAGTTGTTTTAGAGAGAGAAAACTATTATTAATGCATTGGAAGTTGTTTCGGTTCAAATCTTTTATTTGAATTAGAGAGAGAGAAAAATTATTATTAATGCATTGGAAGTTGTTGAATATCTATTAAATATGGTTTTGATATATATGACATAACAAATATAGAAAATCTGGATATATATGACAATCCCAACTAAAAAGATATTCTTAATAATTAGAATAGTTTTTATAGGGAGAGAAAATATTTTATTATTAAAATAAATTTAATATATGGCATTGGAAGTTGTTGTCTATTAAAGGGGGCTGGGAAAACGTGACAACACAAATACAATCCCACCTAAAAAGTTGTTCCGAATAATTAGAAGAGTTTTTATATGTAGATAAAACATTTATTATTAAAAAATGAAAAACGTGTAAAACATAATCCCATTAAAACTCGGAAAATACATTTTTAAGGATATAACGTTAAAGTTGTATATTGAAGTGGGTTGGGAAAACGTGACAACATAAATACACGTTAAAGTTGTCAGTTAAAGTGGGTTGGGAAAACGTGACAACATAAATACAATCCCACCTAAAAAGTTGTTCTAAATAATTAGAAGAGTTTTTATATGGAGATAAAATATTTTATTATTAAAAACTGAAAAACGTGTAAAACACAATCCCATTAAAAATTTGAAAATGCATTTTAAGATATATAACATTAAAATAACAACTAAAATCTGGGAATGTGATAAATTTAATATTAATAAATATAATCAGTAAGAGAGAGAAAATTCCTTAAATATATGAATATATATAATTCATGAGAGAGAAAAAAAATTGTTTAAATACAGAGAGAAAAAATATTGATAATATAAATAATAATTATATATTTTTTAAAATAATGACATTTTTGACACTTTTAATAATATTATTAAAGTATGTACATTATCACTAAATAACTTGTTTTTTTTTACTAGTTAACTAATTATTCCTTAGGAAAATGATCGAAATAAATTGCAAACTTAGCCCACTTAATTTTACCAAATAGAGTCAATTAGTAAATTCGACTAAATATTTAAACAAGAGGAATTAATATTAATTGATAGAAAAGCTTCTTCATCTTAACGAAATTGTAAACTAATTAACTCAAAAATATAAACTATAGATTAGCTAAGTTAACCCAATATTCCAGTAAAATTAAAATCTTTCAAATATTAATAAAGTATAATAAGCATATATAAAATTATATAGAATATATCAATTAGTTTAAAAAATTATGAAGATGACAAAATTATTTAAAATGACTTGCAATTTTTTTAAATTTTATAAAGTCAATTATTTCAAATCGTTTAAAATTAAGAAGCTTAACAATTAATTACTATCGGAAATGATCAAAATTGGATGTCACATTCATATACATATGTTTTGTGGTAACATATATGTACACATAATACATTGTATGTAAGATGGATATACACATAATATATTTTGTGTTGTAACTTATCATCTATATAATATATTTGGTGGTATTTACATGACAAATAGATATACATATATTATACTACTAGCTAGTCATCTACTAGTACTATTACTACCACCACTTTGTCTCTCTCTCTTTTATCTCACTTTCTTCTTGTCAATTTATTTTACGATTTAATAACTTTGATGGTATTTAACTATCAAATATTTTCATAGAAAGTCACTCAATTTCTATTTTCAACTCAAAAATCACTCAGTTATAATTTTTTTGCACATAAATTCACTCAACTTTCATTTTCAACTCAAAAGTCATTCAACTATGACTTCTTTACACATAAAGTCACTCAACTTATTTAATTGTTATTTTCATTAAAATTTAGTGAAATAGAATTTTAATAATTAACCAAAATTTTAGTAATTGAATATATACTCATTTAATGACACGCTCCATTTAATCCCACCCGTTAAAAATATAATATTGAATATTTTATTTTACTATTAATTCCCTAAATTATTCTCCCTTGTCTCCCACATTCTTTTAGTGAATTATTGGTAAAATAAAATGTTCAATCTTCAATGGAGAATGATTTAGAGAGTTAATGGTAAAATAAAATGTTTAATATTATATTTTTAGCGGGTTGAATTAAATAGATGAATCATTAGATGGTTTAAAAGGATATATATTTGATTCTTAAAATTAATGTTAATAACTAAAATTTCACGTCACTAAATTTTAATTAAAAAACGATTAAATAAGTTGAGTGACTTTCTGTGCAAAAAAATCATTGTTGAGTGACTTTTGAGTTGAAATGAAAGTTGAGTGACTTTCTGTGCAAAAAATCATAGTTGAGTGACTTTTGAGTTGAAAATGAAAGTTGAGTAGTTGAGTGACCATCAAAGTTATTAACTCTTTGTTTTACGACACATGATTCATTTTGTAACACATTATCAGCAGAAGTTGTAGTCACATTCATCATCTTTGATTTGTATCTACTCTCTTCGTTGGAAGAAGGTAAGGTACGTTTCTTTTAAGAGTTAAACTTGACATTAATATATATATATATATATATTCAAACACTTTATTAAATCCTTGTGGCTATGCTCACTACTATAAGCGGAAAATTGGATGATTTCAACCACAAGAAACAAAAGATTTCGACTAACTGAATTTATCAAATTTAATTCTTTGTTGTATTCTCTTGTTGTTTATTCCTTTAGTGGATATTGATTTATTATAATCATTAGCTGAATAATCAATATATAATAATTATATAAAAATTTTCAAGTTGCACGATTTTTGTTCGTTAATGATCAGATATTAGATTGAAATATATAGTCAAGATTAGAGAAAAAGAAATCATTGCTACTTTTGTTTTACTCTATTGTTGATGTTTTCAAAGTTGAACTTCACTTCTTATGGATTATTTAAATATCATAATTCTAAAAAGGTTTACAAATTTAGCACAATATTAAGAATGAATAATGAGACAATGACCAGTAATTTAAGTGGAAAATTAGCAAGTTCATCAATGGTAAGCTAACAATATATTTTTGCTTTATGGTAAGCTTTCTTTCATAATAATTATTTCATTAATTCTGATTAGTATGTATCTGCAAAAATAGTATGCTAATTTTAGGGGTCCATAGATATAGATTGCCATCATATAATTACATACATGTTGTTGAAAATATTTAACCTGCAAACTTTAGGAGGCCCACTTATTAAGTGTTTATTTGATTTTTGGATCTTCAGGAATCATTTCAATTATTGTGATGATTACTGTTTACCTTAGTTTCTTTATCTTCAAGTTGCAATCTAAGATATGAATTCTCATACATAACAACAAGTGAAGTTAATATTGAGAGTTAATTTATTAGCTTTGAATAAGTGAATTATTCATAAAACCTTTAAGTTGAAAAATGATATTCAGAGCACCTATATATGAGGACCAACATTATTGCACTTTGCAAAGGTAATAATTTATATAGGGAAAATACCCAAGTACCCCCTCAACCTATGCCCTAAATCC